GATGAACAAGCAGACTGTGTGAAGCTCCCATCCCTAGGGTTCAAGGGCACAGAGCAAAGCTGGGAGATGAGCATCCAGGTCAGAGGAGTTGGGGTGCAGACTTAACCCTGTGAGGAGTAGGGCTCCCCAGCAGCACTGTGGCCCCAGCAGGGAATGATAAGGCTTCCTATGGGACCCTGAGTAACTAAGGCTGGGCAGAGGGGCTTTGCTGCCACTGCCAAGAGCTGTTGGAGCAAGGCTGACAAGAGCAGCGGGCAGACAGGAAGGAGCAAGGTCCTGTTCCCTGCTCCAGGCTCCCAGTCTGCTTTAGAGCTCCCTGCCTACACAACACAAGCAATTGGAAGCCATTAAAATCAATAATCGGCTCCGGCTGGTGTGTCTCAGTAGGTTGTAGTGTCGGCCTATAAACCCAAAGTTTGGGGCTTCGGTTCCTGGTCAGGGCCTGTGTATACCTAGGCTGAGGGTTTGGTCCCAGTGGGCACACAAACAGGGGGCAACCAATGCTGTTTCTCACATTTATGTTTCTGTGCCTCACTCCCTCCCCTTCCGTCTCTCTAAAAATTCAATAAGCATGTCCTGGGTGAGGTTTAAAAATAAAAATCAATAGTCCAAATGTCCCAATTTGGTTAAGAAAAAATGTAAGCTTGATACCAGATACTGGGGTCTCAAGTTTATCCATAAAGAACCACCTCCACATCACTCAGACTGAGAGTTCATTCAGGGACAGACACAAGAATTACTTTAAAAACACTAACTGGAAGATGAGGTTCAGATGTGATGCACAGAGAGGTTTGCTGATTCCTTACCTGGAAGCAAACGTGCTAGCTAGTCACAGGCAGCCCTGTGAGCCCCAGGCCCTCCCTCTAAGGTCCAGTCTGCGTCACCCTGACAGTGCACAGGGGCAGAGGAGAACCTGTGCTGCTCCGTAAGAGTTGACGACCAGAGGGAAGGAGGGCTGGGCAGTGACAGCGACTCAGTAAAAGTCGGACAGTTGCTACTTTCTGGTACGTGCACGCATAACACAGACTGATAATGGGACATTCTTCCTGGACTGGTTAAGATGGCTGGATGAGAGGTTGTGTGTTAGGTGCTATCGATGTGTAGCGCACAGCACTGGGTGAGGGACTGACAAACACGTTAGCTGTTATGGTAAGAGCCCATCTGATCTTCATATTCAGTGAGCTCTGCTGCCCACAGCAGGTAAGTAAGAGTTGAGTGGTTTTTTAAAATCATCTTTTATGCTATAGTATTAAAAATAAAGGCAGAGATAAAATTTAAGAGTTTTTCTTATATCTTACAAACTTTAGTAGCTGAATTTATTTCTATTTTTTAAATTTTCATGTATATTTAATTTAAGCATAGTTGGTGTACAAGCTGTTACTGGTTAGATTATTTCAGGTGTAAACATAGTGATCTGACATCTCCAAACCTTCCTACAGCATGAAAGGTAATTTTTAAAAGTTATACACAGTCATCATACTACCACTCTACAACCATTACTATACTATTGTATGTCATAGATTTCTCTACTTAGTGCATATACATGGACATAACTGCAGTTACATAGCATTTGCAATTATTGGTTCACATTTTCCCTTTAAATCTTCTAATAACCCCTTTCTATATATCAATAAAATCTATACAGTCATCATTTAATGACTGTATAAATAGATCATTGAGTTAAATTGGTATAATTGATAACTTTAACATTTTGTTAATAATTACTTTACAACTTTCATATTAAAGATAATTTCAGAGGAGAAAAAAGAGGGCTACTGAGTGATCACTGCTCCTCAAGTGAAGGGCACACACACTTCTGATCAAGTCCCCTGTGCACTCTCAGTGTGGGATCAAGAAAGACTCTGGAAGCAAGTGGCCAACTTCACCCCAAAGCCAGTTAGAAGGTACAGTTTATGGTAACACCCTCAGAGGTCACATAAAGTCTGTGGGACCCATCCCCGACCACTGTGTTTGAAAAGTAGAAGGAATTAGTGAAACTGAATCTGCCACCAAGGCAGGAGAGCCAGTTACACTCTACTAGTCACCTACAGCACCTGGTAAAATGTCCTGTGTCAGGATAAGCATTCTCATGAGGGAAATGACACAGACCTGGACTAACCAGGGTAAAAGTGCTGGCGAAAGACACTGGAGAACATGGAAACAGTCTGCACATCTACATCATTCACAGCTCAACACTCAAAAGTTCCTGGGGACCACACACAGCCCAAGTTGTTTCTCTGAGACCCAATGCCCAGCTCTGCCCTTTGCCAGCTACTGGCTCAGCAGCCTGCCCCCAAGGTTGTGAACAGTGAGCAGGGCTCCCACACTGTCTGCAGGTTTCTGCTTCTCCCTTTTCCCCTACACACCCTGTGTTAATTCTGTTCCTTCACTCAGCCTGCTCGTTCACTCCCCAGTATGACTCCATAATTTTCATAAGAAATATCTCTTGCATAAGAAAAATGCAACTACAGCTCCCTGACATGGTCTTTCAGTGGCAAGTACAGTCTGGGAGAATGGAGAAGCAGCCCTTCAGGTTGCAGGACCACTTCCTTCCACCTCAGCTTTTTCTTCCTTCCCAAATCCTATGACACATGCAGTTACTGAATTTACACAGTTAGGTTACAGATGGAGATACACAATATTCAACCTTTGGGACCCACAATAAAAAATTAAAATAATTTTTAAGTTCACAGATATTCAATTCAATGAGCAATAAAAGAAAAAATATATCTGATTTCAAAAAATCAGTGAGTGTTACCTATGGATTGCTTCCTTCAGAGGAAGGGGGAAAGCCTATTCTCCCATTATGAAGGACCATGGCAAAAGGGAGCAGTGAGCTTCTCTGTATTCAGATGGTACCTGAGCACTTCAAGTGAGGATTCAAATGTCACTGCAATTAGAAGCCACTGTCCTCCCACAGTGCTCTCCACAGGACACCCTTGACATCTGTGTTCCTTGGGCTGTAGATCAGCAGCTTCACCTTGGGGTTGAAAAGGCTGTAACCAAGGAAAGGATCTCCTGATTCTCCTGAGGATGGCATGATTTAGGAGCCCTGGACATGAAGACGGTGCTACCAAAGTCAAGTCCCCCCATACAGAGGTGGGAGGAGCAGGAGGAGAAGGCCTTCCTGCAGCCCTCCCCAGACTGGGTCCTCAGGACAGCAAAGAGGATGCACGTGGAGGACACCAGCACCAAGCACAGGGGGCCCACGAAGATAAAAGCTCAGGAGAAGCTCACCAGTAGACCCAAGGATGCTAGTCACCTGGATGTCTTCAGTCTAGATGGATGGTCACAGTGACCAGGAATCCAGAGCCCTGGTCAGGAGGACGTCGGATTAGCCCCTGTGGTTCTGACTCCAGGTTCACTGCTCACCCACGAGGTGATAAATTATCTTCCAGGGTAGACACTTCCACAGCAAAGATCAGCACAATTCCTTGCTCTTTATGCTGCTGCATTTCCAACTTTATGTAAATGAACATTTATGTATTCTGGCTTATGCATCATCCCATGGTGCTTTGGAGAACAAGATGCAGTCCCTGAAGAAAGTTTCCAAAATGGACCTAAACCCTGAAAGCCACACCCACAACCAATTTAAGGTCATTGAAGCAAGATGCAGGAATAGAAACAAATCCCTTCCCTAAAGCAAGAAATTAGGTGCCTTTTTTAAAATAACTACTATTGATAAACTGTCAAATCACCTGGACAAAAAAACAAATCTAAAGCATGGATCAGAAATTCCACGTACAGGACCTGAAGCACCCAAGCAGGTTGATGGTGATGAGCTCCAAGAAGATCTTACTGTGAAAACGTGCTTCAGGAGAAAGGGTAGAATAATAAAAAGATGCACATTCAACATAAAATCCCATAAAGAGAAAATTTAAACTATGATTGACCATCTCAGACTTCCCTCACCTCACTCTGCCCCCACCTAACATGTTGGTTTCTTGTCTGTGCTCTCTCCAGCCCCACCACAAAAACATAGCCTCTGAGCCTCAGGAATCAAATGTATTTAGAGAGCACATGCTAGCCGCCTGACCCTGTCCTTAATGCTATGCTCAGTGAGGCACACAGGTTGACATAGAGTTAGTGCTCATTTAGCCTCACATTCTGTTCAGTAAATATGTTGTCACACTCACTCGGAACAGTGAGGACACTGAAAATAAGTACATACATATTTTACATAATAACCAATATGTTAATTGTCCTCAAATGGAACCTCACTCCATAATATATGCCACTACAATTTCCTTTGGCTAGGGAAATTATTCCTTATGTTACATCGAATTCATATCAAAGAAATTTCTTCTTTTCTGAGTTTTATCTTTTCCAAGTAAATCTCCATCACATGGATAATTCTTCACCAATGAAAACTATCAAATCTTGAATACCTTTAAATAATTGGTCTATAAAATTTACATCTAGTTAGAATCTCTAGTAAAAAGATGAAAACAAGGCATGGTGTACAACTTTATCTCATTCTTACTTACAGGGGAAGATGTTAGCATGTCAGCATTAAGTGCTGTGTTTGCTTGGTGTCGGTGGGTTTTCTTTTCTTTTTCTCTGTAGGTTGTCTTTAGAAATGCTTATTCTCTGTTATTACTAGCATGTAAAGAATTTCATCATGAATTAATGTTAAATTTTGTCAAACACTTTATTCGATCTATGAATATGTATCTTTAATTTGTTAATGTGGCAAATTATGTACATTATTTAACATTAAACAATTGTAGCATTCAGGGAATAAAAACCTTAAAAATGTAAAATTATTTTATTTAATGGACTTCTAGTAATATTTTCTTTAAGACATTTGCATCTCTTTCATGAATAGCATTAGACTGATTTTCAGTTTCACAATCTATCTCAGGTTTGGTATCAATGGCATAAACAGTAAGAATAATTATTTTCTCATTTTACAACAAGTCCAAAAACAAAGAGTCCTGGGTTAGTTAAAGTAAAGGACTCAAAAGGACATTTAAGGTCCCGGTGTGATAAGGACCAACTCACACGCCCAAAATATTCCCAACCATCCCTCCCAGGGACCTCCTTTTCCCCAAAAACCTCTGCAGGGCACCCTTGACCTCTGAGTTCCTCAGGCTGTAGATCAGCGGGTTCAGCATGGGGTTGAAAAGGCTGTAAAACAATGACAGAATCTTTCTTTGTTCTTGAAAGTGGCGGGACTTGGGGGCCACATACATGACAATGGCGCAGCCAAAGAAAATCCCGACCACACAGAGGTGGGAGGAGCAGGTGGAGAAGGCCTTCCTGCGGCCCTCCCCAGTCTAGATCCTCAGGACAGCAAAGAGGATGCGTGTGTAGGAGACCACCACCAAGCACAGGGGCCCCACTAGAACAAACACGGAGCCCACAAAGAGGACAAGTTCATGGAGCCTGGTGTCAGCACAGGCCAATTTGAACACTGATGTGATTTGACAGAAGAAGTAGTTGATTTTCTGAGGCCCACAAAAGGGCAGCCTCAGGAGGAGAGTAATGTGGACCAAAGCCTAGAGGAAGCTAAACAACCAGGACGTGGTGGCCAGGACCACACACACTCTCCAGCTCATGATGACAGTGTACTGGAGCAGGTGGCAGATGGCCACATACCGATCATAGGACATCACCACCAAACACGTGCACTCTGTGACAGCAAATGCCAAATACAGGGAAGTCTGAAAGATGCATGGACCAAAGGCGATGGTTTTCTTGTGCGTCACCAGATTTGCCAGCATCTTAGGAACAGTGGTCGAGGCATACGACATGTCAACGATGGCCAGGTTTGAGAGGAAGAAGTACATGGGGGTGTGCAGGCGGGAGTCCAGGCAGACGAGCCCCAGGATGACCCCGCTGCCCAGCAGGGTGACACTGTAGAACACCAGAAAGAACCCAAAGAGGAAAACTTCACGTTCTGGGTCAACCTGGAAGCCCAACAGGATAAATTCTGTGATCCATGTCTGATTGTTTCCCATTTCCTTTTGACTGGTAGATACCAGGCTGCCCTTAGGACAGAAACTTCACAGCTGAAAAGCAGAAAAGGAGAAAAGAAATGGTGTGCTCACATAGACTGAGAATTTATGCCAAAAGCCACAAATCAGTAAGTCATGGATTCAGTCCCGCCCACAGTCCTGTGATGCTGATCTGCAAATTTGGCTTTAGAGATATTTAGAAACTTTAGATGTTAGCCAATATTAAAAATTGAGAGATTTCACAGAAAAATTAGGCTCTCTGGCTTCCATGAAATAAATACAAGATGTGATATTCCTTGGAATGTACTGTAAGCAATACTCAGCTGAAGCTAATGAAGAGAGACAGGCAGATCCCTTTTCACTTACCACAACTTCTAGGAATCTCTGTTTTTTTCCCAGAAATTGAAGGGGAGTGACACTTAATTTTATCACGGCACTTACACACTTGGTTGTGGTCCACAGTTTTAAGGAAAGATTGATGATCTCGGGGAGTTCTGTAGTTCTCCTCTACTTGAAACAAAGGAAAATGACAGATCAAAAAATAAAATGCAAAATCCCAAAGAAACAGCCAGAGTTTCAAATGGGACAATTCTTTCATATACCAGGAATGAGTCAGACACATGACATGCTCCATCATGAAAGCAGAGTGTCATACCTGGAACTCAGCTTGTGTTTTGGGAGATGGGGCAACCACATGGTTCCTCGAACCCAAGCACCTGGGCTGGGGCCATAGAAGCAGGTATAAAGCAGCCACTGGGCTCCTTACTGGATACGATGACTGTGATGAAGTCAATGTGCTGGCGGCCTCTCCTGTTACATCCCCAGAGCCCGAGGCACTCTCACAGGACCTGATTCCAGGCCAGGGGCCTTGGAGCCTGCTGCAGGACTACACTAGCTCAAAAGCCCACAACACGGAGAAAGAGAAAGTGGAAAAACCAACATAAAATCAAATGATAATAAAAACAAAAAGTCTTTTTGTGCCCCAAAACACCTTTGAAGACACACAAGTCTCATGTTAAAGAGGAAAAACTCAGTAAAAAATTACTTTGGTTTTCCCTTCATAACATCTTCATTAATTACATTCAAAATGTAATTAATTCATTCAAGATGCTATTCATCTTAAATAATTCATTCAAGATGCAATTAAATGCATAGAAAATCTTCCAAACACTCTAACAGAGGATGGTAAGAATGTCCATAAGAATGGATTAAAAAAGGCATAATACTTACTAATATTAACTTCACTAAATGAAGAAAAAAGAATGCAGGAGCCAGGAAAACAAATCAATTACATACTTTGAAATGAGAATATAGCCACATGAGTTTTAAAAAGCCGGTAAAGACAATAGTTTCTAGATCTAGTGTTAAAAAGGGAAGGCGTATACTGGAAAGTCCCATTTAAGAATCCATCCAGGTTTCAATACACAGACAAAGGGATACACGTTTGAAAGTGCAGTTTAGAGAAACAAACACTAGGTAGACAGACTAAACTTAGATATTATAAAGTTTCTAGAGCAAAAGATAAAGAGAATGGTAAAGAAACATTATCTGAAGAGACTTAACCAAAAACATTACAAAATTAAAGGACACTTAACTCCTTAATATGCAAAAAATCTTTCTGTTTAATGAGTGCAATAAAGAAAGATAAATGTACACTCAAAACTTCTTATACCTAATGATGACATAAATCTTTAAATAAAAAATGTACTCTGCCCTGGCTGGCGTAGCTCAGTGGATTGAGCTCAGGCTGCGAACCAAAGTGTCGCAGGTTCAATTCTCAGTCAGGGTACATGCCTGGGTTGCAGGCCATGACCCCCAGCAACCGCACATTGATATTTCTCTCTCTCTCTCTCTCTCTCTTTCTCCCTCCTTTCCCTCTCTGAAGATAAATAAATAAAATCTAAAAAAAAATGTACTCTGAAGATGGAATAGCACAAATAAAAATTAAATTCTCAATGAATAGAATTTCTTAGCAATGATCTCTTTGACTATTCTCTTTCTTCCATTCCCTACATTTCACTGTGTCTACACCTGCTGGAACCCCATCCAAACAGTGATGTAGTCAATGAACCTCTCTCATGTCTCTTCATTAATTACCCTTTCAGATTGTTTTCTCTTTTGCTGTCTTCACACTGTTCTAGACATGTCACAACTATATTCTAATTGCACACTTATTCTATGACTGACACCTGGGTGACATTTGTTTCATCAAAACATTTTTAAACAACTTTATTTTTGCTTCCTAACATTTTTAAGCAGATTCTTTTTACATCTATTGTTTTGTTTGATCCCTTAGAATCCCTTTACTGTTTCATCAGTGTTATGGTATTTCATAGAAGCTGGAATTTAATTTGCCTTTTAAGCACTCTTTGTTTGACTGTTTTGCACAATCTATATTTTGCAGGATTAAGAGGGAAATTAAAAGTTACCAAAGGAAAAAAAAAAAGTTACCAAAGGTAGAATACAATTACATTCACAGAAACAACCACCCAGCTGACGGTGACTTCTCGTCCATAGGAAAGGGTCTGAGGGCAATCAGATACTGTCTTCAGTGTCCAAGAAGGGGTAAGCTGCTGTTCTACAGTTTGATATCGTCAAGAGCACTCCTGAGTGTATGAGAGCAAAGTGAGGCATTATTAAATATGTGAATATGGAGGTATGAGGACCTACAGATCCTCCATGTACAAATAAAGTGTATTCCTCAACACAAATCCCAGTGAGACCACAGGTAAAGCAATATATGAAAACAATATAGAAACATAATTTGAAAACTATCTTGGCAAACTTTATACCTATTGACTTCAAATAATTACTCTGCTATTTTAAAACGATACAGGTAAACCTTTTGGAATTAATAAGAAAACAGAGGAAGAGACGTCTGATCAGTAAAGACTGCTAAGACTCTTGATGAGAACTGGAACTCCGAGTGACTTTACATTTGTTAGCATAATTCCTCAACTGGGATGTTAACACTTCATATACCTCATCAAAAATAGACATACAAAATATAGTTTTCAAAATTACATGACAAGTGAAAGTAACTAAAAGCATAATTAAGCCAAAACCAGGGGGAAAGCAACAAAGGAGAGATAAAGAGACAACTAAATCTTCCAATAGACAACAGAAAAGAGCTGGTATTAATACATTTATGCATACTGATTACCACAATAGTGTAATAAAACACAGAGATCATCACAATAGGACAAAAAAAGTCAAAGTACAAAATCTTTACAAAAAGGACACCTGAAATACCTAAATTTCCCCTCTCCCTCTCTCCCTCTCTCCCCCTCTCTTGCCCTCTCTCTCTCTCACACACACACACAGACAGACACACACACAAAAGTTAAAGATGAAATTACAAAAAACATGTCTAGCCATAAAGAAACTGGTGGTAGATTTACTGATAACACTTCAAAGCATTTATAAGCATATGGGAGTTACTAGAGAATAAAAATGAATGCAATAATCCACCAAAAAGAAAATTCAGGATCTGGTCCCTTATGAAGTTTAATTACAAAGTGATTCTTTTCATCAGAGAAAGGGTGTCCCCCAAACCTTAAGAAACATTATTTTTAATGGTGAAATATTAAAAAGTTTTTCTCTGAGTTAGAAAATGTACACCACTAACACAATTTGTCTTGGATGTTGACTCAATAACTAGCCAGCAATAAGAGAAAAAGAAGAAATAATGGCCATCAGAATTGAAATGGGGAATATAAAATATCATTATTCACAAAACACAATTGTATCCATAGAAAAAACTTCTACAGATGAACTACTGAAATTCATAAGCAAATATATAAAAACTTTGAATTCAAGGTAAAAATGCAAAATAAAAACATGATGTATGTCACAGGATTGGAAATTTTTTAAAGATTCAAAATCTCTCCAAACTGTCCTATACACTCAATGAAATTCAAGTCAGAATCCTAGCAGGGGGGTTTCTAATGTGAAAATTCATAATATTTTCTTAAATATCACATATGAAAATGCAAAAAGCCAAGGACAGCCAATAGGCCTTCAGAGAAAGGATGAAGGAAGAGGACTTACCTACTACTAGTAACATTAACCACAAAACCAACATAATTAAATCACTGGGGAACTGGGGCAAATGTAAACCAACAAAGCAACACAGCAGCTTGGGTGACTCTGAACTTCAGACACAAAAAGGCGGTGCCAGTGTATTCAGTGAAGTCCCCAAGGTCCGTTTGATATCCGTGGAGAAAACTCTAACCTGGCCCACCACACATGAGGCCCGAGATAAATTTCAGGTGGGCTTTCATTCTAAATATGAAAGATAAACACACCCTCCAGCATATACACCGGGGGGTCCCAGAGGAGCAGCATTTCTCAGAGATCCAGACAAGGAACAGACTGTCTCATGACAAACTTGCACGCACAGGCTGGCTTCTCTCACGTTTGTTTCTCTACTTTTAAAGTTTAAGAACAACACATTTTCATTTCAGCATCATTAGTTTCTAACACCACTACTCAAAGCAACTAAAAAAGTAAAGACAGACAGAATATATTTATATTTACAATTTTGTGTAGAGCACATGTTTTCATGGATTACTATGCGAGGTGCAGAAGTGAAGCAGAGAAGTTGTTTTCCTAGTAGAAGCATTTTATCGTACTTCCGCCAGCTAATACTTTCCCCTAAACTCGGGTGAGTGGCACTGTCAGCCACATAACCCCATTCTAGAATCTGACAATGGGTCTCCCTGGGATCAGGACAGCCATCCACGGATAGTAAGCCTGAAACACCGATTCAGGAAAAGCAAATCAGGCACCTCCACCAGCTTCACTGACACAAGAAAAACACAATGGGAGTTTTACTGATTTTCTATAGGATGCTCTGGTGGCCATGTGTCAGCACCTCTGTACAGGGCAATGAGGAAAAGAAGGCTATTTTTAGGAGGTGGTAGAAGCAGATGATTGTCAGCTAGGAAGACATGAAGGAGAAATTGTGTAACAGCTCCGGCTTCACCTTCCACTGTAAAAGGAGGCAGCAGTATTAGATGGCTTTCATGCCCCTCTCAGGTTGCTACCATGAGGCAGGGGCATGTAGTGGAACCAGGACCTCCCCAGAAATGTGACCAGGGAGGGGTTCTGACTAAGAGGAGTGAGAAACCTAGGCTTTGACAGCATGGGTGTCAGATGTTACTCTGAGCACCCCCACCATGGCATAGTGCAAGAAAAGGGTCTTCAGAAAAGTGTCTTTCTCTTCATCCTAACCCTGAGGACTTGGGCCAACCTTTCGTCCTGCACTTCTGTTAGTCATTAACCAGTTTATATATAACGATTCATATGTAGGAGGGTATTATTCACAGTATTTTGCCCCTAGTGGGTTTGAATACACAGGAAGAGGAGAGGTTGGGCTGAAGCACCTACTGCCTGAGGTGGGCTCCCTGCGAGATGAGTCACAGATGCCCTTTCTGTCCAGACCATGAGGACAGGACACAGGGGAGCTCAGGAGGCTTCTAGATGAGAGAGCTTCACTCTCTGACCACCTAAAGCCCACCCACTTCCCAGACACCTACCTGTGGAGTCCAGGGAACAAATTACAGAGCGTCCTCCCACAATTCCATGTCTTCCCTACTGAGCAGAACAAACCTGTCCTTCTGCTACTGACTCCAGCTTTGCTGTCTGAGGGTGTGAGTGCAAGTGAGTGTGTGAGTGACTGTGTGTGTGGTGCTAGTAGGGAAGTGAGAACTCAGGACAAATGGCAGGG